TGGACCAGGACACCTGCGGACAGGTTTGACCAGGACACCTGCGGACAAGTTGGACTAGGACACCTGCGGACAGGTTGGACCAGAACACCTGTGGACAGGAGCAGACATTGGAGTTCCAGAAATCTCTTGATGGCAGCGATTGACTCAAAAGTTTGGACAACAAAATATGAAGTTATGGGAACCATTATTTTAGTCAAGGCCATATTTATTAGAATTATATTTAAACTTGGTCATTTTTCAAATTATTGGGGACTGTCAGATTATACAGTACTGTAGAATGGCAGCCACCTATTATTATCCACCTGAATTATGGTTTCTTAACGTTATTTATTTATATCTTAGTCTTTCGTCAACTTTAATGCGGCACGAACTGCAACATGTACTCCCACAAATGTTATATCAAAACGACCGGCTCGGCACCGTGATGTGTGCTATTTTTTTTTATTGGTGTTTCAAGTTACCATAGCGACATAATTTGCAAACGATGACACCATTTTTCCCATACAAAATTCTTGACAGAACAATTCTCACTCTTAACTGCTGCTGTGAGGTCACATGACTTAGATTAGAGAGCTCCCTGAATAAAACTTAGAAAGTTACTATTGGATTCGTTTGAAACTCTCAGAAATTAATCATTAGATGTATCTCTAGAACTGATTAACGTTTGAAGCCATTTTGATTTTCGGCTGCCACACCTACATTTAAATGGCTTTAAATCAGCTATTTTTACACATGTAGAGATGGAATTTGGTGTGGTTGTAGCTGAGAACATTCCCCATCACATACTGAATCCAAATCAAAAATCCAAGATGGCCACCTTAGCTAAAAGAGAAAATAAAATTAATAACTAAGCCATTTTTAGAGCCATTTAGCTGAAATTTGTACGGTAGTGGTAGCTGAGAGCAAACCCCAACACATAGTTCTGTCAAATAAAAATTTCAAATTGGCACCAGCGTGGCAGTCCCCGTCCAAGTTTCTTCAGAAACTTTCTAGTTATTATTATAGTCACTTTAAAATTATTTCAGTGACCTTTTATAGGGTTTTGTTTATTTAACAAGGGGATATAAACACAAATTTGTCTGTGTCCGGGTGGATGGGTGAAGTCCGGAAAGCTCTTAAAAGAATGAAGAAGGGGAAGGCAGAAGGACCTGATGACATACCAGTGGAGGTTTAGAAATGTCTTGGAGAGATGGCAGTGAGGTTTTTGACTCAAATATTCAATAGCATATTTGAGTGTGAGAAAATGCCTGGGGAATTGAGAAGTGTGCTGGTGCCCATTTTTAAGAACAAGGGTGATGTACAGAGTTGTAGCGACTACAGGAGAATTAAGTTGAGTCACACAATGAAGATCTGGGAGAGAGTTGCGGAAGCAAGACTTAGATGAGAGGTGACTATCTGTCACACTTCTGTAGGCTTGTTCCGTGTTCCTAGCTGCAGTGTGGGTTCCTCTGCACTCCTGTGCATGAAGGACAGCCTTTTTAAGTTCTAAGTTTTTGTCTGTCCATTGTGCCGTAAGACTAATCATGCTAACGGAGCTAACATGACGTCTGCGGTAAAACTCACCCAACAAGTCGTGCTATCGGCTATTAGCTTCTCAATTACGTCGGAAATGGTGGCTTGTAACTCGGGTAACGTTACGTTGGAAAAATATTTCCGACTGGGGACGAGGTAGCGAGGCTCAATGAAAAATAAAACTTCCACACCGCCGACATTTTGAATTTTCCTCTCCGCCGTGAAATCGGGTGGGCGCGTGTGACATCACCATGTTGTGTTGCCGCTGCAGGCAAAAACAGCGCCTTTTTATATCGGCTAGTTATTTTAATGGAATGGCCGATGTCTGATATTGAACTTTAACGCTAATAACGGCCGATACCGATACACCGTGCATCCATCCCTAATCATATGACAGGGTGCCAAGGGAGTTGGTGTTACTGCATGAGGAAATCTGAAGTGGAAGAGAAGTATGTTAGACTTTGTTTTCATCTCAGGGTTGAGCACCCCTCCAACCTTCATCTAACCGGTAATTGGACCCCCCCTAGACTCCTGAGTATTACCCAAACAATACTACGGTCAGGCCCTCTTAGGCTGGGTTCGAGAAAGATTCGACCAGGCACTAACAACTAGGGATGGGGCCGATCCGGTATTGGTATCTGCCTCCGATACCAGTATAATTTACGTATCAGATTTTTTCCAATCCAACCTGCAGAGATTTCCGATCCATGATGCATGTTTGCTTCAAACTATGGATAACTATGGATTTCCTGAATGGAGGCGTGTCTCATGAACCCAGAGTAATAAGACCCGCCTCACATTCAGGAAATCCATTTCATAGTTTGCAGCCAGCTACAACGTGAGGACTGAGTTAGCAGCACTGTGGCTAACAGCTAACCAACTTTTCATCGAAACGTTCGCTGTGTGGAAGTATTTTACACTAGAAACACCACAAGACAGCAACGTGCAATGTCTGCAGAGCCATAGCGCCACATTAAACCGTGGTAAAGTTAGTTTTACGTTGGACATTCAAGCTCCGTGGCTTCAGCGGGGCGCTGCTCTTACTCAACCCGCAACGGGCAACTCGACCCTGGCCAGCCGCGTCCATTCTGCCCCGTTCAATCTGCCGCACTCAGTCTGCCCGTCTCTGAGGAGGGGCAGACTGAGCGGGGCTGACCGAAATCAGACTGCCTGCTTCAGATTGAACAAGAAGGAGACATCGCTGAAGCCCCGGAGCTCGAAGTTTACTGAGAAGTTGTTAAACTTCATCATAATTAATGACCAACCGCTATCATTTGTAGAAAACAATGGATTTCTCAGTTTGATACTTGCAGCCAAGATATAGTTTAACCTCCAGGAGATATTTATCAGTACAACAGTAGACAATCATAAAAAGGAATTGAAAATTACAAGAAAAATTATATATATTAAAAACAAAAAAAGAAACAAAAAACGGCTACATTATACATTATAAAGTGATGTAAAATACTAAAAACAGGAATATGTCTGTTGGTTTATGCCATGAACTTAGCAGATGTTTAAAGCCATTTAAATATTTTTAAATTCGTTTATTCATTAATTTAAAAGAAACCAAAAAAACAAAGCAAATTCATCAAAAAGAAAACATTGAATGAAAAGAGTGCAGAAAGAAGAAAAAAATTCTTATATCTGCCCCTTATTTAAAAATATATAATATAACTTTAAACAATCACTTAAATTAATCACTTTAATATTCACTTTAAAGCTAGGACTAAAAAGAAACATGTTTTGTGTTAGCAGAATTTAATTCTAACTTTAAAACCTATCCAACATTAATAAAACTTACCTCAAGTTGCCTTTTTGGACAAGCATGCATATATTTGTACACATTGTACATGAGAGGAGATTATTACAGCCTCATAAAATCAATAATGATGATGATATCGGAACCGTATCGGTATTGGGCGACATACAGATTTAGGTATCGGGATCGGAAGTAAAAAAAAAAAAAAAAAAGTGGATCGGCGCATCCCTACTAACAACCTTCATCTGCAGCACGCACCCCTATTTCACCTCGCATCTCTTAGTCAAGTAGGTACCCTGAATTAATGGCTGCTCTTCTTCCATTTGACATTTCACAATTGGTAGAAGACCTGGTAATTTTCTTAGGCCAGGACAAGTTGGCCATATGGGGATGCTGTTCAAAAATCTAACTAACTGTTAAAAACCTCCTAAAATCTCAGAACCAAGCACGCTTCCTCACTAAGTTCAGCAGTGAGCGTGTATCATTCAGATGCCATCAGGTAAATGAGTCCCAACACCCTATGATTTTCATGCTTTACATTTTTAATCAAAAATTTGCAAAGGTTACATTTGTAGCTTGAAAAATCCAGCAGCAGTGCAAGTGAATGCATAAAAAAAGCAGTATAATGAATGAAATAAAAATCAAAAAATGGTTGGTGCATCCACACCTAGAGGAATTTGGATTTTCAATCTCTTATAATAATCTCGTAATCAGCCTAAACTCTTACTATACTGTCCCTAAGAAAAAAAACACAAAATGCAACATATAATTTTTAAATATGGTAAAATGGTTAAAAAAGGCTGGTTCCTACCGCATATCCCATGACTGGATCGGTTTTCCAGGAAAAAGGAGAAAAATTCCTACAGCCTTTTTGAAAACTGTCATCAAATGTAATTAATTCCAATCAGAGTCTTGTTCAGAGTTATCTGGGGTCAGTCCTCTTTAAGGGTGATCATGTGCAGTGTTTCCCCTACCATTATACAAGCGGGGCGCCCCGCCCCGTCAACAGAACTGAGCGCCCCGTCTACTGAACCCCACCCCCAACCACCTGTCTGCACTGACGTAACGCTAAACTAGCGGCTCGCAATGCAGGTGCACTAGCACAAAAGCTAAAGGAAGCCTCTTCATGCTGAATCCTCACGATGAACGTACCCCCGCCACTCGAAAACTGTCGGTACAAACAGCGCACAGCTCAGATGTGTGTCTGTCTCTCCCCCCGCTGACCCCCCCGCCAAAAAACCCCAAAACTGTCGATTCAGACATCGTGCGGCTGAGATGTGTCTCTGTCTCTCTCCTCTCACAAACCCTGGTCTAAAACTGTACAACTGTCAGTGCAAACATAGCGTGGCTGCCTCAGTGTCTCCCCCCCAAAAAACTGTTGGTTTAAACAGCGCGCTGCGCAGCTTAGGACAAGTCCCCACCCCCACCCCACCCCCCCGGACAAAAATCACAGACAAGATGAGCGCCCCGCCATGGCAAGTTATCTAGGGGAAACATTGATGTGCTACTGAGCGGTTCTTCATTGCTTTAAGTTTTCATCTTCTGTTGTTTCTTCAGCTCTTCTGCAGCCAAAATCTTCCCTCTTCAATCTTCAGATCTGATCCAAGTCTTCAGGGCTTGACGACCGTGTTCTTCTTCTACTCGAAATGACTGACCAACTTTCCTCTGCTATCTTGTCTTCTTAAACTAATCTCTTGTCTCTGATGGGCTCATCTATGATCTAGCATCCATTTTGAAAACTTGTCAACCATTTTTTAAACTTTTCAACAGTTCATCCGTTTGTCTCCTTTTTTTCCAGCTTGTGGTTTTTATGCAACAGCTTGTCTAGACAGTGTACTTCCTTTCTAGTGTAAGCTCGTGACAGGTGCTCTGCCTAACCGTCTATTGGAGTGTTGCAACTTTTGTTCACTTCCTCCTATCTGGCAGCCACTTTTGTTATTTCTCAACTCTCAACCTTTAATCTTAAACGTAAAAAAAAAAAAAACGTACTAATAGAAATATAAACTCACTTTTAATCCAAAATGTTAAAAATATACTTGCTAAAAGAGAGGTATAAACTCAGTTTGTGCCTTTTTGCAGAATAAGACGACACATCTGTAACTGTGTGTGTGTGTGAAGCCTAACCACACTTCAGATCAGAGAGATTCAGAGAGACACTGATTCACACTGATTCAGAGATCCACACGGACTACACTGCTGAGTTTCCTGTCACTTGCTTCAACTGACACTCTGTGTTTCTCAACCCTGCACGTCTAATCCTAAACGTAAAAAAATATACTTAATAAAAGAGAGGTCTAAACTCACAAAAACCTTTCTTCTAAAATCACTTGACTTAACAATTAAGAGTGAAATCTAGATCTAACTATTACAATCACTTAATGAATACTTCTTTGATCACAAAATGGATTATATAGGATATTTTTGATTACAAATAAAGATCATTATAACATTTGATTGTTTCAACACCATGACAGACAGACATAAAATCTTTAATTTAATCAACACACCCACAAAACTTATTGTATTGATCATTCATTGACTTTTAAGATTGCCTCCTTCATATGTCCACCTCCACCAGACATGGGCAGTCTGACCTCAACACCTCTTCATCCACCTAACTTGACAGTTGGTACAGGACATGTATGAGGAAAGCAGGACAGTGGTGAGATGTGCTGTACAAGTGACGAATAGCTTCAAGGTGGAGGTGGGAGTGCATCAAGGATTGGCTCTGAGCCCCTTCATGTTTGCTCTGGTGATGGACCGAAGAACAGATGAAGTCAGGCAGGAATCCCCGTGGACTATGATGTTTGCAGATTAAATTGTGTTCTGTGGTGTGAACAGGTGGAAGAGAACTTGGAGAGATGGAGGTATGCACTTGAAAGAAGAGGAGTGAAAGTCAGCCATAGTTAGACAGAGTACATATGTGTAAATAAGAGGGAGGAGGTGGAACAGTGAGGCTACAAAGAGCAGAGGTCGCAAAGGTGCAGGACTTCAAGTACTTGGCGTCCACTGTCCAGAAAAAGGTGGAGTGCGTTAAAGAGGTGAAGAAGAGAGTCCAGGCAGGATGGAGTGGATGGAGAAAAGTTTCTGGAGTGATTTGCGACAGAAGAGTGGCATCAAAAGTCAAAGGAAAAGTTTACAAGACAGTGGTGAGACCAGCTATGTTGTATGGTCTGGAGACAGAGACATGGAAAAAAAGACAAGCGACAGAACTGGAAGTGTCAGAAATTAAGATGTTGAGGTTCTCCTTAGGAGTGACAAGGATGGAGAAGATTAGGAATGAGATCATCAGAGGTACAGCACTGGTTGAACAACTGGGAGATAAAGTTAGAGAAACCAGATTGAAATGGTTTGGACATGTCCAGAGGACGGACAGTTGTTTGGACATGTCCAGAGGAGGGACAGTGTGTAAATTGGTAGAAGGATGTTAGAAATGCAGCTGCCAGGAAAAAGACAAATAGAAAGGCCAAAGAGGAGCTGTATGGATGCAGTTAGAGAGGACATGGAGGTAGTTGGAGTGAGGACAGAGGATGCAGTGGACAGAGTGAGATGGAGGAGGACTCACTATGGCGACCCCGAAGAGGGAAAAGCCAAAAGAAGAAGGGGTACAAACACAAATTTGTGTCTGCAAGAAAAGCTCTGTCTTTATTTCATACACTTCATATTATGGTGCTGTGATGAGAATTTAGAAAAGATGTTTAAACCGCTGCTCTTGTCTTTTCAGAAGTCTAGTCTGGAGTTGAGCTTGGAAGGAACCAGAGCTGAGCTGTTGGCTGTTCGGACAAACAATGCTGACACCGTCAGCTCTCTGGAAGCTCAGGTAAGACGGCTCACATTAAAATGACCTCATCTATATGGGATTGAAATGAGCTGAATATTGTTGATGTGTGGCTAAGTTCAGACAAACTTTGATACACACACTGTTCACACGCATACACTGAATGTCTTCTGTCATACATCCTAATGACAACAAATCTGAATACTTTATTAGAGAGTGATCTACAAACGTCTATGAGTTTCGGCAGCACGATGGCTCAGCGGTTAGCGCCAGTGGTTAATTTGAGCCAGATCCTGCCGGAACAAGATCTGGGAACCTTCTCATTTTGACCGCTCTGATCCGGCAACTCAAATCTCCGCTCCTAAAAGTCTAAAGTCATTGCGCATTCTTATTTTGATTATTCATTAAAGATACAATGAGAGGAGAAGTTGCCCAGTCTATGGAGTGGATGTTCCATCCGCACCACGCTCCTGCCAGCAGAGACACGGACTGCATGTCCCGCAGGGAGCGTATTTATCCACCTTCATCTGTGCACCATGAGACAGTTGTTACTCACAGTTTCTCCAGACAGCTCTACAGGATGCACGCACAACTGCTGTGTCGGAACTCCTACATACATTACCGCGGTGCATAACATTTCAGACGCAATAAATAAGCTTACAGTAAATTTTTTTTAAAGATAAATAAATAAATCAATACAAGTGAAATGTTTGATGTGTATTAACATCACGTATCAAAACAACGGCACAAATTTGTCAAAGTAAGAGCGATCAAAATGTCAAAAAGACAATTTATTATCTAAAATAAATTGATGGATGGATTGTCCTTAGCTGGACAACAGAGAATTGAAGCCCCTGAAGGCAGTGGTAATTGAGATTGGAGCAGAACAACACGCAGGACTGAATTCTGCAGAGTTCGGGTCGGACAGTATGTGTGTGGTTGGGGGCGGGGGTAAGGACACTCGACAGAATAGGTCTTTCACACACAGGCTTGTTAACTGTTATTGCTCTCTAAAATAGTAATTTCAATTCAACTTTTATTTCTATAGGTTGTCAGTCTCATGGAGCCTCGTCATTTACAAGAGAGACCTGTTTTTAATCTATTTAATCAAATGCTTACAGATGTTTAACAACCTGTTTCACCAAAATGCAAGGAATGGCATCTCTTTTATTCCAAATTTTCTGGGGGAGGCTAACTTTGTTAGCAAAGAATAGAGTGCTAACACTTGTTAAACATCTGTTTTTACAACAAATAAAAAAAAATCAAACTTGTGCTTTGACAATCGATGAAACTAAAATATTTTGTCAACGTGACAGAAGAAAGAGGGGGCAGGTGTCGCTCTCACTTTGAGTTTACTCTTTGTTGCTGCGTGCTGTGGATGAAATGCGTCCAGAGCGGAGGACTTGTTAGCAAAGAATAGAGTCCTAACATTTATTAGGCCCGAGCAGCAAAGTGCTGCGTAATCGCTCTGTTCATTTGGCCCAAGCAGTTTTTACGTCAAATGAATTGGCCTTTTGGGGGCCTTAACATATCCCAACACTCACCAAATTTGCCGGACGCATCAGGACTAGAGAAAAATTCTGCACAGTTTAATGCAGATCACATCACGTTTTTCTTCAGAGTCCAGTTTTGAGAGAATTTAAAAAGTAAAAAAATATAGAATCTTTTATTTAAGCAGTCAATGCAAAACATGAACAGATGATGCATTGTATTTTTATTTTAGCTAATGTTTTGGTCCAATCAATTACACAGAAAAACATCAGTAGAAACTTTGAGGAGGACTGCCATGGTGCGGCCATTTTAAATTTTTGATTTGACAGTACTGTGTGTTGGCTTCATTGTCAGCGACCACAGCATCAAATTTCAGTTCAATGTGGCAAAAAAATCAACAAGTTAGTCATTTTTTATTTTACGCTATGGTAGCCATCTTGGATTTTTGATTTGGTTTCAGTATTTATTGGGCATTGCTCTCAGCTACCACCACACCAAATTTCAGCTTAATATCTCTAAAAATGGCTGATTTATAGTATTTTTTCCTTTTTACCGAAGGCAGCCATCTTGGGGTTTTGATTTGCAATCAGAATCCGTTATGGATTGTTCTCAGCTACCAGTGCACCAAATTTGAGTTGAATAGCTCTACAAACATCTGAGTTATATCTATTTGAAATTATCCTTGGCGACCATCTTGAATTTTTAGGTTTGAATTCAGAATGTGTTGTGCATCACTGTCAGGTACCACCACACCAAATTTCAGCTCAATATCCTTTAAATTAGCTGACTTATCATGGTTTTTCCTTTTTAGCTAAGGTGGGCATCTTAGATTGTTAATTTGCATTAGGAATGTATAACAACTCTCAGCTACGACCAAACCAAATTTCAGCTCAGTATCTCAAAGAATGACTGAGTTATAGTCAGTTTAGAGTTTTCTGAGGTAGCTGTGGCAGCCATCAGCCATCCGAGTTCTAGAATTGCGCCGCTCCAGGTGGCTGCATGTTGGAGCAGCTCTGTTACTTTCATCCTGAGATTTTGCTTTTGGAAACTTTAATTCCTGTTTTTCTGGATGTAAATCACATTTTTTGGATGATTGTTTCCTCTGTTATCGGATGCTGTGCAGCTGGAAGGATTTTTACTGAAACTTTTTTAGTTTTGGACATTTGTTATGATGCGTAACCATGGCAACAAGGCAGTTTTCTACAACCAACAGCAGCTGATTAACATCTCAAAAGCTCAAATAATATCTCGGCTACAGCCCTAAATCTCAGATGAGTTGAAAAGGATGTTCTGTGGATGCATTCTCATCTACCTGCCAGCTGTGCTCGAGTGCCTGACCATTGAGATCCTGGAACTAAATTACATTTCCTGCTATTTCCTGACATTCATGACAGCTGAAGGACGGATCGTCCCTCAGCACCTACAGTTGGCTGTGCGCAGCAACGAGGAGCTCGGCAACCTGCTGGGAGGAGTGGCCATCGCTCTGGGAGGAGTTCTGCCCAGCATTTGGGTGGTCCTACAACCCGGGGGAAACAAGAGGCCAGCCGAGTCTGGGTGGACGGATCGGACTGCATCTGCAGCCAGTTTCTTAGGATCCACTGTGGAATGGACCTTTACAAGAGATCCTTCCTGTCTACAGTCATCAGTATCTATAACATCTCTTAATGGAATGAAGATAACGAGTTACAACAACAAATAATTTCCCTTTGGGATTAATAAAGTATTTTTGAACTGAATTGAATTGAATCTTGATCCAACATGGCTCCAAAAGTTAATCAGTGTTTTGTTCAGAGACTTCTCCACTCTAGGTCATGTGACCTCACTGTGGCAGAGTTCTGTCAGTGGGTTTCAATGCAGAAAAATGGCATGTTTACAAATTACGTCGCCATGGTAACTCTGAACACCAATAAAAGTAACAGCACACATCACGATGCCGAGCCGGTCGTTTTGATACATTTGTGGGGGGACACGTGGTTTGGGCCGCATTAAATTTGAAGGAAGAGCAAGACCCTGTTCAGGTGGGTATGGTGGCTGCCATCAGGTTCTGGCTGTGAGCTCACTGCTGCCCCCTGCAGAGCAGCAGAGGTACTGCCTGCCACACGTTCCTTCAAAGCAGTTTTATGAGATCAACATGACTAAATGCATAATAAATATATGTGAAATACCGGTACATTAACCAAACGACACATGACATGTTACACAGTGTTGTCAATTATTCTCTGAAATCTAATTCAAAATGCAAATGCAGTGAGTGGTTTAAATAAAAACCTTGAATCAATGTCGGCACGTTTGTCTTCTCTGTCCTCAGGTGTCTAAACTGAGCTGCAGTGTTTCTGAGCTGCAGACTCTTCTCCGGCACAAAGACGACTCTTCTAGAGCCTACAGAGAGAGAACAGATGCACAGGTGAGCTGACGCCAGACACACAACTGTGTCAAATACAAAATCTGAGGTTTGACTCCACGATTGAAAATCTAGCTTGAGCAGTCAAACTGATGTCGCTTCAGAAGTTTAGATGACACTTTATGATCAGTGCGATCATTAATTGTACAAATGTTTAACAAATGTTAATGATTTGCATCATGTTTTAAAGGTGACCAAGCTTGTAAAATTTTTAGTTTGTTTCATTTAAATAAAATAAAGTATTTCATAGATAAAAATAGCTTTGAGCTTTTTTTAACATCAGTGTTTTGGTCTACTTTTTGATGAAATAAGCCAGTTATATATAA